TGAAAGGCCAATGAACCAACATAATCGTTTGCAACATTTGAGAATAATTTGTAACATGTAGGGAAATGTAAGCATTGCTTATTTATAATAATTGAACTGCTCCACAGACCTCAGATTGGTTTGCTAAAAAAATATGTTATTGCAAAGACTCAAATAAATGCAAGGCATAATTGAAAAAAAAAAATACAGGCTTGAATTGACATCCAAACGATTGCTTTGAGGATAAAACTATATGCCATATGGTTCAATTTGCTACTTTTTTTTTGTAATAAACATTTTTCTGTAGGAAAAAATACAATCAATAGTATCAACCGGTGGAAACTTACGATTTTAAATTGGATCACTACTTGACTAGCCTATTCGTCCCAAGTAAATTGATTAACTTACCCCATTCTAGGCAAAATTCTAGTATTACACTATGTTTGTTTTGCTTCGCTATGAAAGTTTGAGAGATAAAATTAGGGGTTGGGTTGGGATTTTCCTATCTTTCGAGGGGTGCATCGATTAGCTTGGGAAAGAGGATAGTATCAGAGCTGAGCCAAACAGTTAAGCACGTTTCTTCGGGACTTTCTAGTCTTAGAGTTACCTCTATGATAGTATTCTACACCGGAAATAGATTGGAAACGTACATGATTTTCATCCATTCTCAAAATTAGTCATAGGGGAAATTAATGTAATGTCGGCCTAAATGCACATAATTTTGGCCCATACATAAATTCAGCAATCAACTAAATTTTCAATAGTGACAAAAAATATCCATAAATACCGTTCCAATGACGCGTTCATCTAGATAAAATTGATAAATAGCAGATGTTTAGCGATGGGCCCAATATTAGATCCATAGGCCAACATTAGAGCCATTTTCCCTATATGTCTGATTTCAAATGTTTGCAGCCCAAGGGCCTGAATAAAATAGTAGAAACAAATTTTCATTATTTAAGTAGCGTAGTAGTTATGGTAGTTATTGAAAAATATTTAATAAAATCATGGAATGAAATTTGGTATGCGCTACAAACATCTACTACTAGCTTTGAGCAAAGGTACCGCTCAACCCCAGGGGAGCCACAGACCACTGATACAGATGTATGATGCTACAAAATGATTACTGCCATATAGCTCCGTGCTCCACCAGTCAGATAACTGACCTTAGCTTACCATGAACACCATAGTGGTAATGCTCTATTCGTCAACGGAACTATGCCATCTGAGCGAAGCATTTTTAGTCCACTGGTGCTAGCGCCCAATCGTGGATGACGAATCACCTTGAAAAGGTAAACTTACGCTAAGCAGAATCTAATGTCTCACCGGAACTGTACCAGCATGTGGCTACCAACCTAGGGGAACAGTTTTACCCAAAACTCAGCGTAAAATGATTGCAGTCATACCAAATTACTCGTTCAACTTCAATTTAAGGGATGAACTAGCCATATGGCTAAAAAAACAATGTATTACTGGTAGCGTGGGAAAAGTTAGCTTATCGACACCAGAAGAAAGAAAATTATTTCCTACAATTGAATAATTTAATCAAGAAACAGCACAGATCCATTCGATGCTAAATTACACTATTTCTGAAGATGAGGTGGTAGGGGATGGTGATCCCATACCAACTCATCAACACAACCCAAAATGTACATGATGTATGCATATTAGGCTTGGAAATATAAATTTCATTGAAACTCACTCGAATTTTTGAGTGTTTTTGTACTTTGTGATGATTTTCTTAGGGTGGCCAAACTGTCCCACTTACCCCTACTTACTTGTTCGCGTGAATCGGGAAAGCTATTGCCTATAATATCTTTCTATTTTCGGTATGTTCAAAGGCTACCTACTTTGTAACTCTATTTGAAGTTAAAGGTTTAGAGAGTACAGATAGATGAAAAACTGGAACACATTCAAACGTTCCTTATTTGGTATCTTTTCTAATGCTTTGAAATAAAAAAATGGGTAACATAATGCCCTTACCTAGAGATAAACTGCCAGATCCGTAAAGTTGCTTTGACACATTCCTTACGGCGTAGTCCAACTGGTGTTTAGAAACATTTGCTCCTAGCATCTTGGCGTGATTTTTTACATCCTTTTTCGGTACGCCAGACTTGAGTAGCTTTTGGATGATATCTACTTGCTCTACCGAAAGCTGCGGGCGTGCCAGGTTTTCCGGTGGAGCGTTTATGCAGCTGTGTTCCCCTTTGGCACAAACCGTAGATTCCGCATCTCTGTATGGAGTGAATATCAACACTTTCCTCTCGCACTGCGGCCGTGATCTGTATTTAATGCGTGAGCAACGATAGTACCGCATATCGCCCTTTTCGGGATTATTTTCTGCACGATAAGCGAAACCGAACTCGAAGTTTTTGACGAATGATTTTGCATCTCTAAATGAGCATGTTTTCACCGGAACATAACCAACAAATGCGCTAATCTGTGGATAGAAAATGTCAGTCTTTAATGGATCATAAGGTATGATATGTTAGTAGATATAGTCAGTTGACATACTTTCTCGCCATAACAAGAAACAAAATCTTTGTGATGCATTAGATATTTGCCTTTCATTAGTTTCAAATAACCGTAATAAAAAGCATTTCTTTTCATCTTCTAGGTGAATGTTTAAGCACAGACAAACAGACGTAACTCTTTGAAAAACTTGTTCTTGAAAACATAGTATCTCAAAACATATAACCTCAGTAACGACATCTATCTGGCTTCTCGCGGAAAACAAGCTTGCTCGCTAATTCGTAAACAATATTGCATAAAATTTCTATAGAATATATAGAAACGTCAAAGTGATCCGATGCCAGCGCTGCTGCGAGTAGTTCGCGGAACTGATAATATTCAAATCAACCGTTAAATGCATGAACGAAGATACACAATGAAGAGTTACGTCTGTTTGTCTGTGGTTTAAGGGTCTTGCCCCACCTTACTCTACTAACACAGCGCAGTGCAGTGCATAGTGGACGTACTTTTGCGTGGTTTCTAACTCTGTTCACTCAGTCACATTCTAATATGTTTCAAAATCATATTATTAAATGTTACTATTGCAAACAGTACTTCCCATGGTCCCATGGTTTTAAATATATATTGCTAAAATCGAGAGTTTACCGAGTGTGCAAGTATTAGCAACTGGCGCAAAATATGGTATCAGTATGGTATCCACGCAATGATTGCAACGTCGATCTTTGTTTCTGTTGTAGACTGTCACAACAGTTGCTGTGCAGTGTCGCAATGATTAAGGTTTATTGGGGTTACCTCCATTACTGTTGGCCGGCCATCGCCTTTTTGTATGCTAGGCATTAGAATCCTCCCGTCATATGATCGTTCCTCGTCTGGTGACCGAAACCCATGCACTTGAAGCATCGCTCCTGTTGCTTCGTAGCCCGAGGAGTGGCTTTCAGCGAGCACACTGACCACCCAACCTTTACCTTATCCGTCTCCAACAGCTTATTCGCTGCTACTGACGAAAGCCGTATCACCGCCGTTTGCATGCCGCCGCACGCCTCTCTTATCCTGATTGAAATCAGGACATCTCCCAAATCGCAGTGCACGCTTAACGCATTTCTTATCTCCTCTTCTGTAGTGGTCTTGTCCAGATCTCTGCACTCGACCACTGTCTCATGGGATAAAGCTCTTACGTTCGCCCCTTCACCAAGAGACTTTTCGACGAGCTCCTTGAAGGCTGAGCTCTTGATAAATAAAACACGGTGGCCAAAACCCGCACCAGGAAGCTGTACCGACGAGACTTACATCAAGGCGGACACAAAGGAGTTGCCGGGGTAGGAGTCTCACGGAGGCGAGACGCTGTTTTGGCCGGATTTGGCATCCTGCCAGTACGCGCGACCGGAGTTAGACTGGTACAGAGACAACAATGTTAGTTTTGTACCAAAAGACGTCAACCTACCGAACTCGTCGGAACTTCGCCCGATTGAGAAGTTTTGGGCCATCATGAAGTCCAGACTTCATTAAACACCTAAGGTGTTGGAGAACGAGTTGGCTTTGTAGATTGATTGATTTGCAAATATGTATTGTAATCTAATTTTTCTATCTAACGTTTTGTTGGAGAGGGTAAGGTGGCGATTATTTTTCGAAAAGAGGGGCATGGAACAAAAAAGGTAGAATTAATATAATATAATAAGACGAATAAATCTCATGCAAATGAAAATCGTCCGACTGTAACCAACAGGTGATCGATACTGAATTCCTCTATTCTCATTCTACGGATTGAGACATTTTTAACTTGATTGAATGCAATTCGCTATTGCATTTGGGACAATCCCTTCCCGCGTATGACCTTAACAGTTCATATCTTATCGATATGTATTTACTTTAACTTTGTAGAAATATAAACATTTAAAATTCCCGTGTGCCTACCATTCGCATCAGTCGTGGTCATGGAATGGTATTATTTTTCTCATGTAGATAAGAACCAAACACAACAACTTCAATGTAACGGTGCCGGTGATGTAATGGTAAGCGTGATTGCCTCTCAACCCAAAAGGCCTGGGTTCAATCCCACTTGGCCCCGCCGGGATTTTCTGAGGCACGCATTCCTCGGAAGGGCAGTAAAGCCGTTGGTCCCCGGTCCATGAGTCGTGTGGGACCTGCCTCACTGGCGTCATTAGCATTGGTACGGAAAACAAGATCGACGGAAAATAAATCAAGAAAAAAAAACAAATTCAATGTGTAGTTTGCGTTGTCGAAAAGCCTATTCCTTCTGCAGTTTTTCTTTTTCCTAAACAACAGCTTGTAAAATGCGCGACTATGCAGTTATAAGTCCTCACGAAAAATATCGTCTAAATTGTCTAAAAGACCGTTAATCCCGCCGCAATTTGATGTATCATGACAATAAAAAGAATGCGTATTAGCACGTGGATTATGACTGATTAGCTATCGGTTTCCGACTGGGTTTGAACGAAACCATATAAAACATCGTTTGGCTAGGAAGATAAATTCATAAATTAGTTAGATTCGAACCGAACAGGCGCAAATAATGAAACTCATCACCATAGTATCGTCCATCGCTGTAGTCCTGTGCATGGGACAACTGACGACAGCACAAATTGTCTCACCCGGAACATGTCCAGTGCATCCCGTCCATCAGAACTTTGACGTTCCGCGATATTTGGGGCTTTGGTACGAATATCGCCGCTACGAACAGCAGTTCCAGCTTGGCGGAGAATGTGTAACGGCACAGTATTCGGTGAACGAGGACGGCAGCGTTCGTGTGTTCAACAGTATGATGGTTCCACCCAGTCAGGAGCGGGTCTCCGATATTGGACGCGCTGTTGTTGCCTTCCCGGACGAGAACCCACTGCAAGCGAAGCTTAACGTTACCTTTGACAGTGGTAAGTACGGTTGAAGATCATACTCTTGAAACAACTAGATGAGTATGTATGGGTTTGAAATTGCAGCCCCGGCGGAAATCACGGCAAACTACTGGGTGCTGGATACCGACTATGACAACTTTGCCGTCGTCTGGGGTTGCTTCCAGATCGGAAGCACTTTGCGAGCCGAGAATGCATGGATTCTGTCACGTGAGCCAAAGCTTAATGAGGACGTTACGCGACGAGTTCAGGAATCGATCGAGAAGTACCTGGACGAAGAGCAACTACGAAGGACAATTCAGGATGATGAATTGTGAGTATTAGGATGGTACAGTTTATGCTAGCAAAGGAACATAAGTGTTGACTTAACGATTTGTATATTCGCAGTTGCTGCTCGATCGAACCGGAAGTGGAAACCCATCCAACCTGCGGAAATCAGGTTATGAGCCGACGTCGCGTGTAATGAACGTCGTTTTTTTAGTGTTGTTGATATCGGTAAATGTCAATATACAAAATTATTTATTGAGTTAATTATATAGTTAACTTAATTTGTTCGCAATGAAAATAAAATCAGAGGATTAACAACACATTTAAAGCAAGCGTTTTGAGAACACTCTTTTCATTCTCATGCATACGGGTTTGTTACATGATTAATACCATGCATTTTACACACTGGGAGTTAAGTCGAAGCAAAACCATGCTGGAGGTGGCTGGGTTCGATTCCCGGTTCGGTCTAGGAATTTTTCGGGTTGGAAATTTTCTCGACTTCCCTGGGCATAGAGTATGATTGTACTTGCCACACAATTATACTAATGCAAAAATGGTACAGGCATCGAAAACTCTCAATTAATAACTGTGGAAGTGCATCTAGAACACTAAGTTGAGAGCACGCAAAAAGCTAATATGCCATACGCAATAAGCTTGAAAAGCGAGGAAGAAGAATAAGAGTTAAGTCGAAATCGTTGTTAGTCATTTCTCATTTCGTTCCAAATAAATTGCAATTATGTACCTGTGTTTGCTAACCATTCAAATCATCGTATCACATAGGCAGTGATGTCTTCAATTTGAACTATAGTGATTTGAAATTCTGTGGAGCCATTTATTATTAGCAGACATTTAATTTTGTTTCATGTTTGAGCTGTCGATCGGCATGCTTAGGTGTTTGTATGCACCAGTTCTTTATAGAGATGAGTGATCCGCTCCCGAGCTGTTCTAAAGACCTGATTCACTAAAGTGAGCTGATGACCCACAGTTCATTTTTAGGAACCGCAGCTCATCAGCTCACTGATATCACATATCACATCTAAACCATTCAATCCGTCACTTATTTTCAAAAAAGGACTCATTACTCCGCTTACACATTGCACAGCCACCGTGTAAATCAAGTTGCCCGCGTAACATGTGCCTACTGATCGATAGCATCAACGGTAAAAGCAAACATCCAAGCGGCTGTATGGGAAAGAGAGACATATTAAGCTGAACAATGCATTAGGTCCTAAGTGACATTGATCGATTCTCTTCGTCGACATTCTTTTTCGTTAACAACTTGAGGACATAACCGTTTCTTGTTGCGTTTGTCGTATTAGATGCTAGATAAAAGCTTCTTTTATCGATATGTGTGCTGACAATACCTGGGAATGTCTTTACATGGCCGTGGGGCTACAAAGAGAAAGTCAACGAACTGAATCTGTCAATGTTACTTAGGCCCTAATGGTGTTGGCACATTTTGCGCGCATTTTGGAAGTAGAGCTTCGGATTTATTAATTTAGACTACTTTTATAATTTATATATAATTTTGGTGAAGGGTATTCAAAACCACTTATTTCTTTTACGATTTAGAATTTGTGTCAGAATTTCTATAATTTTAATGTGAGCTAAAGAGCTGCTCAGAAGAATCGACTTCCCTTTAGTGAGCTGGACGGGTCTATTCCGCTCAGACAGATGTGCTGTTTTGTCAACCTCTAGTTCCTTTTAGTGGTTGGCAAAATCGGGTCATTACTGTTTGTTTATAGTACAACAATATTGTATTTTAAGATGTGTACATTTAATTGATTAAAACTGCTACTTTCGGTATTCTTTAGAACAATATTCAAACCCTAATAAAAATGTTATTGTTCATTTGCTTAACGACGTGTTCGGGGTATCATCCAAACAATTTATGTAATAATTCAATCATTTGGGTTATCGTTCGTTTATGGAAATTTTTTATTAGGGAATGCATTTTGACTATGAGTCACCAATTTTTATGAAATGTATACAAATTATCATACAAACAAACGAATTCGAAGTGTTGGCAATAAATCAGCTTCGTTTACTATTCAGTATAACTATTTTCAATGAACAACCTCAGTTTAAGCATAATAGGAATACACATGAGGTGAACAAAGGAACCATATGGCTATAATGGGTGTCCTGAATAAGCCTAATTATCTTTATTATAAGTCAGTTTCATCCATCAATCCTTCACATTTGATAAGTTTATCTCAATAATGAGACTTTAAATTTCAGTAATTGGTCTAATATATGTAGTCTTATGAATTCACGCAAATGATTTAACCAAACATAACCATATTTCCGGATGACAAACTATAGCCATATTTGGTACATCTACCCTAAATGATTAGCCAACTCTGAAAGCATTCTGTTGCCGAACGTTCAAGATGCCGAAAATATGCATATCATCAATAGCGTCCACAACGAACTGTCACGCAATCTGCCCCACCAAATCACATCATGTGGTGCACCGCCTTATCATTAAAAATGATTCAAAATTTATCTTCCACGGTTCGATGCTGCTTCTATAAAAAGAATATCATCTTTCAATTACCTTTGCATTACATCTCCACCATCAGTCAGTTTATGTGTCTTCTCTCCAGGATGGATCGTTTGAAAGTGCTCCGAATCATCAGTCTAGCCACCATTTTGATGGTGACCGTCTCTGCAGATATCTACTACGATAGGCCCTGCCGGACGAATGTAGAAGTCGTAGAGGGCTTCTGTTTGGATCGATACCTGGGCAGGTGGTTCGAAATGCAGCGCTACGAGCAGGATTTTCAAACCAACTACGACTGCGTTCAGGCCCAGTATGGCTTGATAGACGAATCAACGGTGTCCGTCACGAATTCGGCTTACAATCTGCATAACGATACCACAGTGGTTGCAATCGGCAGCGCCAAGTTGTCGTTCCCGGAGAATGAAATCCTACAGGCGAAGCTGAATGTGTCGTTCTTCGGTGCTCGTAAGTTGAAGAAGTGTCAGTTCTATTCCGTCGAGGATTATTGAGAATTATGTAACATTTCAGCCAACGATCGTTCCAACTACTGGGTAGTTGATACGGATTACGAAAACTACTCGATAGTGTGGTCGTGCGAACTGATGCCGGAAGACACCTCACGGGAGAGCTATTGGCTGCTGTCGAGAACTCGGCAGTTTACCGATGATCAACAAATCAACGAAAAAGTTAACTATCTCATCAGAAAATATATCGACCGGGGACAGGTTAGAATAACGAATCAATTGGATGAGCGGTGTCCTGATTTCTGAGTGGAAAATAAAGTTTATTCGGTGAGAAGCCATGTGCCACGCTTATAATCTTTCATTCTGAGCCCGTTAGCTAGGCAACACGCGTACCTTAAGCACTGGGCGCTCCTCTCAAGAGCTCACCCATCCGGTCAACAGTGCACACGGCAAGAAAAAAATACTCAAAATTAAGTTAAAAAAAACTCAACGTTGGGTTCTATCATTTGAGGTCCGCCGTTGAGTAAATCAGAAAAGCGGCGTTGGTTAAAATTTACTCAACTATTGAGTAAAAATAAATAAACTCAAATATAAGTTTATTTTAATTGAGGTTGCTCTTATGCGACTTTAACCATTTCATTTTCACAAGCGTTGATAAACGAGTGGTCAACACACGGGCCCTGTAATCTCAACGTCCATGGTTCGGTTCCAGTCTGCTCCGTTTTATTAGTTTTTTGTCAACTTCAGGATTACTCAAAATTGAGTTTTCTTATTTAACTTAATTTTACCTAGCCCCACGGAAGCCACGTGATGAGTGAAAGGAACTCAATTTTGGGTACTTTTTTCTTACCGTGCATGCAGTGGTTCTCAACATTTTTAAGTGGCGTACCCGTTGGTAAAGAACCATCCAAATGTTTAAGGTAGATTGATCACACACGGCAGAACTTTTCCTTCGTTGTGTGATAAATGAAGAAAATAAACCACGACCGATAATATGGCCATCCTGCCATGGCGGAGGCATACGAACTATTGCTTTTATTGATTGTGGATAGGGATGTATTGTAGACAGAAGACGGTACATTTATTCCAGCACCTGCTTGTTGTTGTAGCTAGTAAGTGCACAAGTGGACGTTAGCACAAATATCAATTTTTAAAGAACAATCCGTAAAAAATAACCATAGAGGTGCAATGAAATGTATTGTAACCATACAATAGAATTTATTGTATTCACAAAAAATCGTACTGTCTACAACAATAAAATAACCATAGAATTTATTATTTCCACAAGAGAATCTATGGGGAATGGGGAAATCTACAATAGAACACGGGGGTTGTTATGTATCTTAATCATACGAAAAATCACTTTTTCCCGAACAAACTTGAACCATTTACCGTTAATTGTAATGTTGTTCTATTATTAAAAATCCTTACAATATGGGACGTATTGTACATCTATTATAATAACAATATGTTAAAATCTCTTGTGCAATATACGTACAATTAGATAGATTGTTGACAAAAGATTTCATTGCAACTGTATTTTATTTTATGGTAATTGTATGGTTATTTTTTACTGGAGGGTTATCCCAAAGAACGGGATGATTGAGAAAGGTGTAGACAGGACAACAGCAACGATCATCAATGATAGTGAAATATAATATTGTTCGTGCAAGCGACGATTACCGCCTTTACCCTAAGCAAAACATAGTTATTAAACCAGTCCATAGATGTCACCACTTATCCATCTTTAATTGTCACTGTTCTTATTTATCTACTGCAATGTGCTGATCTTGTATGTAACAACAAACAATAAATCTATATAGTTTAATGCCTCCATTGCAGCAGGATGGCCAATAAATCTGTCTCTTTAAATTAATTATCACACAACGTAGAAAATCGGGTCCTACCGTGCGCGATCAAATATATTTATTTTATATTAAGATAGGGGTTACTCAAAATAACTAGGATAGGCAAATTTTTGGTCAACTTTGGAGTGTTGTAACTTCGTCAAATATTATCCGATTTTAAATATTCCAAGAGCATTTGACTGGAAAACTAATATTGTTCTACGGTGTAGCCACGAAAATAATCCTGGTCACCGGATACCGGAGATATTCCGGGTTTTCGGAGGTTTTGTCTAACTTGCTCAATTTTTGGTGAAATTTTATATATGATGCTGGTTAAATATATATATTTTTAGTAAATACAACGAAAAAAGAAGTATTTCTAAAGCGAATCATATGCCAAGAACTTAAATCGGCTTATAATCAACCGAGATATGGCCATTTCCCTGGAATCGGTTCTGGTGAAGGGTTCTGAATGCGGGCAGATCATTTAATCACTCAAAACATGCCGTGCGACAGCTCTTTCTTCATGGTTTCTCGTCAATAGACTTTCGATAAGCATCATTGACCACATTGGCCACTCTCGGAACATCCAGTATGCCCCCGGGGGAACCTGGAGCAGGGGACAATTGCATTTTTGCACCAAAACATGCCGTGTGACAGCTCATTCTTCATGGTTTTTCAAGAATAGGCTTTCCATAAACTTCAAATGAATCATTGACCACATTGGCCGCTCTTGGAATCACGGGATACCCCCGAGAGATCCTGTGGTAGGGGGAAATTGCGTTTTGACTCAAAAACATGCCGTGCGACAGCTCTTTCTTCATGGATTTTCATGGCCACATTGGCCGCTCTCGGAACCACTGGGATGCCCCGATAGAACCTGTAGCAGGGGACAATTTCGTTTTAACTCAAAAACGTGCCGTGTGACAGCTCTTTCTTCATGGATTTTCATGAATATGCTTTCTATAGAATTTAAGTGGATCATTGACCACATTGACTTTTCCTAGGATGACCACATTGACTGGAATGCTCTGGGGGGGAAACTGTAGTGCGGAACACGACGAGGACTTTACACACCTGCCATGGCCAGCACAGTCGCCGGATTTAAATATAATTGAGCTCGTTTTAAGCTCGTATTCGATTTTTTCCTCCTCCATCGTCGTTGAAAACGCTTGAACATCTTTTGATCCAAGAATGGTACAACATTCCACTAGAAGCCATCCAAAAACTTTATAAATCAATTCCCAGACAAATCCAAGCTGTTATTTAAGCAAATGGTGGTCTAACATCATATAAGACGGTTCCATTATAACATTTTCCTACAATTTTAAATTGCATTCTTAAATTATAAATAATAATTCATTAATAATACAAAGCTTTGCAAATAGCAAATAGCTTTGGAACCCAGATTAAAAGCGCAACATTTCAAATAAGAATGTTTTATTCGTACTGTCACTATTGTTTATTTGAAATGCAGGAAATGGCACTAACTGATGATCACTAGCGAGCACAAAAGTGCTGGCGAACATCTCCATAGCTGACGTCGACAGTCATTTTGTTCATTAAAGAGTTGTTGTTGCTACACCTGACATTAATACAAGAGAGAGACTTTTATTGGTCTACAACCAGAGTTTAAAGAATAATCTCCCTATCCACTGCTAATAGTCAATGGTCCATTTCAAGACTTCAGATGGTTCGAGCTGTCGAACGGCATTGTGAAGTGAAGATACAATTTTCTTTTTACATGTTATCCTGGGGCATCTGCTGGTTCCAGAATGAGCTCCCCAATGGCATTGTTTTGTGTAAAAATGTGATTGCATCCTACTACAAGTTCCCCCCAGGGCATTCCAGTGACTCTGGAAAGGTCAATGTGGTCAATGATCCACTTCAATTCTATAGAAAGCATATTCATGAAAATCCATGAAGAAAGAGCTGTCGCACGGCATGTTTTTGAGTAAAATAGCAATTACCCCCTATTACAGGTTCCCCCGGGGCTATACCGGAGGTCCCGAGAGCCGCCAATGCATCACTTTAAGTCTACAGAAAGAATATTCATGAAAAAGCTTGCAGAAAGAGCTGTCGCACGGCATGCATTGGTGTAAAAACGCAATTGACCGCTGCTACAGGATCCCTCGGGGGTATCCCGTTATTCCAAGAGCAGCCAATGTGGTCAATGATTCATTTGAAGTTTATGGAAAGCCTATTCTTAAAAAAAAAACCATGAAGAATGAGCTGTCGCACGGTATGTTTTGGTGTAAAAACGCAATTGTCCCCTGCTCCAAGTTCCCCCGGGGATGGGAAAGATGGGAAAGATGAAGAAAGAGCTGTCGCACGGCATGTTCTGAGTGATTAAATGATCTGTCCGCATTCAGAACCCTTCACCAGAACCGATTCCAGGGAAATGGCCATATCTCGGTTGATTATAAGCCGATTTAAGTTCTTGGCATATGATTCGCTTTAGAAATAGTTCTTCTTTCGTTGTATTTACTCAAAATATATATATTTAACCAGCATCATATATAAAATTTCACCAAAATTTAGCAAGTTAGACAAGCCCTCTGGAAACTCGGAATATCTCCGGTATCCGGTGACCAGGAATATTTTCGTGGCTACACCGTAGAACAATATTAGTTTTCCAGTCAAATGCTCTTGGAAGATTTAAAATCGGACCATATTTGACGAAGATACAACACTCCAAAGTTGACCAAAAATTTGCCTATCCTAGTTATTTTGAGTGACCCCTGTATAATTTTAACCAGAACTGGTTTTCAAAAATGAATTACTAGATTTGGTGTAAAAATCACACACATCGTATTCGTTTGATGTCACAAAGTAAAGAGACAGAGCTCTTCAGTTTATTGCTGCTCAACACCTCTACCTGAGAACACGACAACCTGTCGTTTGTTATCGTTTCCAAAAGTCACCAACCGACTAATGCTATGTCGACTACACTTGGGTAAATTTATAAAGAGATGAAATGTCAAAATTGGAACAATCGATTATCCGTCAAAGTCATTGGAAATATTCCAATCGAGCAGAAGACCTGTCACCTCTTTACCCAATTTAGTCTCTTTAGGGTAAACTATAATATTCATTTAGAACGGATATAACACTTATCATCCCTTAAGAGTTCTGAACTCTATCATTTTGAAAATCGAATATCTTGAATACCCATAATTTCAGTTAAATCTAAATCAATTAATTTAACTTTCAATCCGAAAGCAAAGATATTTTGCCAAAACTTCAATTACGTACATAACTCGAACACAGTTAATTGCTAAACGTATCTAATCATAATAAAAAAAATCTTCTTTAAGTTTTATCTTTCTACTGGACCTTCTTGGTACAAAATTGGCGTAGGCGTGATTCGTTCGACAACGTCGGAAGTACAAACATAGAGGTAACTCTAGTAGTTTCCGAAGAAACGTGCTCAACTTTTTGGCTCGGCTCTGGTACTATCTTCGGTCCCAAGCTAATCGATTCACCCCTCGAAACATAGGTAAATCCATTAACCCCTCATTTTATCTGTCAAACTTTCATAGCGAATCAAAACAAACATTGCGTAGTACTAGAATTTCGACTAGAATGGGGTACGTCAATCGTTTGCTTGGGACCAATAGGCTAGTCAAGTAGTGAGCCAATTTAAAATCGTTAGTTTCGTATTGTTTGTTGGTAGAACTCTCGGATGGACCTCGCTTATAGCTGAGCATGGGTGTTCGATCTCGGGCACGTGTAGATTAGGAGGTTCTGGGTCCAAATCCTCGTCATTCTCCAGATCTCCGAATGTTCTCTTCGTCCCTTTCATCGTCCTTTCACCTTCAGCCAACCGAAGCTGAATATTGCGCCTTGGAGACTGTATTAAATTCTGCAGGTACCTGTTTAGGTAAATATGACATGGCAGTTGGATACCTGCTGATTTTTAGTAAAGCTCGATTCAGAGTAAATCTGGACGCACGGTTTAATACATCACCGCGCCCCTTGTGGTTGGAACAAAAAACGTTTGGCAGGCATTTGTTAATGTTTCATTGGCGAAGAAATTGGTGAATTGATCGACGCATCCCGAGATTACGGATCATGGAAGTTGAGAAAAGAAAATTAATTGTGCACAAACATCTAGATAACCCTTCGTGGTCTGCCTCAAAAATAGCAAAAGTGTTAAAATTCCCAAAGTCAACGGTGAGTCTTGTGATCAAACGTTACAAGGATGCTCTGAGAGTGGATAGAGCACAGCGCATCTATCATAAAAGTGGCACTGGGGACAAAGAGCTGAGGAGAAAGGTGTTGAGGTACATAAAAAGCAACCCAGGTGTCTCCATACGTGATTTGGCAAAGAAATACGATTCGAACTTTTCCACTGTGCGTAACATCCTTTCAAGAGAACGATATAAGTATTTTTGTGCCAGTAAACATCCGAATCGCTCCCTGAAACAAAATTTAGTGGCCAAAAAGCGAGCACGATTACTATACGAACGAGTTTTGACGAAATTTGATGGCTGTATTTTAATGGATGACGAAACATATGTCAAAATGGATTATAAACAAATCCCCGGACGAAAATTTTACCTGGCAGCTGGTCGTGAGGAAATCCCTTCCATGTATAAATTTGTTTTTGCTGATGAGCTTGCTCGGAAACTAATGATTTGGCAAGGAATCTGCAGTTGTGACCTCAAAACCAAGGTTTTCATCACATCTCACACAATGACGTCGAAGGTTTACATTAAAGAGTGTCTGAAAAAGCGAATTTTACCCTTCATTTGGCAACACAAGACCAACGTTATGTTTTGGTCGGATCTAGCCAGCTGCAACTACTCTAAGAAGGTACTAGAATGGTATGCTGCAAACTATTTTAATTTCGTCACCAAAGAGATTAATCCTCCGAATTGCCCCGAGTTCAGACCGATCGAAAAATATTGGACAATTGTCAAGCAAAAACTTCGAGGACGCGATAAAGAAGTGACAAATGCACAACAAATGCGTTACCAGCGTCTGTGCAGATGGCATCGATCACAAGTAAAGTGCGACAGTTCGTTCGAAACGGTAAAATGTAATAACTTGTTATGTATCGTTTGAAAGCTGAATAAATACCCTTTTGTTTGACGTTTTGATCAACCGTGTATGTTGTTTAATTCTTGAGTAATGGACACTTGAATGCGTCCAAATTTACTTTGAATCGGGCTTTACCTATTGATTGGTATATAAATCGTTAATAAAAGGTGCATTCTTCAGTGGTGTTGAGTACTTGCAAGTAGTAGACGAAATACGCGTATCTGTCAAAGATAAGTAATTACAACGGAATTAAATGAAAATAAACCTACACACTCAAAGCTCTTCATTTCGCCTTGGTTCGGATTAATTGGGTAGTTCTTTATTTGCCCCCAAGTGGGCATTGGCGTAGCTAATGAGGGTGCAAGGGTGCCAGGCCCTCTCCAGAACTATCCAGCCCCCCAGAATGTTTGATGTTTATTTGACTCAACGGTATCTTATCAAGCTTGTCAAGTTCGATGTTACTATTTAACAGCGATTAATAAAATTAGACCACACACAAAGATTTTTTTAAATCTTTGTTGACTATTTTTCTTATGTTTTGAACTATAATAAGCAATTTTTAGAAATTATATTATAACGATACTTAATCGACGGCAAAACAAGACGTCTTCTAGCTCCACAAGTTGGCCATGAACCCAAGGATTTTTCTTTAACTTCTGGGACCTTCGTAAAACTTCAAGGACTTCTGAGAAGTTTAGAGAACATCGTTGAAATTGAGGAAACTTAGCAGAAATTCTAGAAATTTCATAGATCTTCAGAAAAATTCGTAGACATAAGGAACTGCGTGGAAGTGGAAAATTTATTTATGTTTGAGCATCTTTGTAAAGGGAACATTATTTTATTTCAGGGAACCTCATTATTGATCGGGAAACTCTATATAATTTCAGAGCACTTTTTCAAGCCTCATGGATTTGGAATAGTTGTGGAAATCACGTACAACTTCAAGAAATTTCGTTCGTGGAACTTCGCGGAAAATCAACTAGAACCGTAGAAATGCAGAAGAAGTAGAAGTTTTTCGTAGCGGTTTGAGGAGCTAATTTTTTCCTTGATCATTTCTAAGGTGAATCGTCAATTGGGATTTATTTCAGAGATTGCACGAGTTTTCAAAGACCCTCACTGCTTGAAGGCACAATATTTCTCTTTAGTTTGGCCCATACTTGAGAATGCATCTGTGGTCTGGTCTCCATATGAGCTAGTGTGGAATCTCCGAATAGAACGTGTTCAGGTTGCGGGAAGCCAACCTCAAAGGCTTTCCGCAACCTGCCGTGGCGCGATCCAATGAATTTACCACCTTAGCAGACCGATGCATGCTATTGAACCTGGATACATTGGAACACAGGAGAAAAATGCAACAAGCATTATTTGTAGCGAAACTTTTTAATTACGATGTGGCTTTCACAATTAAACTTCCGTGTTCCTCAAAGGATGTTGCGGCAATCATCCTTACTACTCTCAAGATTCCATCGGACTGCATATGGATCTAAAAACAGTTCAATTAACTTCTAAGAATGCTAAGGGATCCTCGCTTCACTTTAGAGAACTTCGTTGCAGTTTGTCAGAGATATTACCAGGGATGGAAAATCATTTACATTCATTTCGTGCATTCATTTACATTCATTTGCCTCTAACTTTTTTAATCAGCAAAATTCCGTAAAATAGTGTTTGAAGCTTTTGTAGGCTTTTATATTAACTACATTTTTTGTAAGTAACTGAAATCTGTATCTCTTATGTATGATGAATCAGAGCGATTAGAATCCACCATTGTTTTTTCAGTGAATGTAAATTGCATTCACTGAAAAACAATAACATGTTCTGCCAGCTCTATTTCATCATGCATAAGAGATTCATATTTTAGTTATAAACAAAAGTTGTAGTTAATATCAAAAGCTACAAAAACTTTATACATTATTTAACGGTATTCTGTTGATGAAAAAAGTTAGAGGCAAATGAATGTAAATTAATGCACGAAATGAATGTAAATGATTTTCCATCCCTGGATATTACTTCAAAAAAAGTTCCTTGAGCTTCTTAGAGGTTTTGTGAATTTCATTAAATTTCAAGGAATTTTCCAGATGTTCAAGAATATTTGTAGATGATAGGTGTCTTTCCCGCAGTGTAAAGAAATTATATTATACCTATACTTAATCGACAGCAAAACAAGATGTCTTCAGGCTTCACAAGTTGCCCATGAGCCCAAAGATTTTTCTTTAACTTCTGGGACCTTCGTAAAACTTCATGGACTCCTAAGAAGTTCAAAAAACATGTAAGGAATTTAGAGGTCTTCGTAGAATTAAGAGAGTTATAAAAAATATGGAATTCGGAATAAATTCATGGAACTTCATAGAAGTTGAGAAAATTTTGTAAAACTTAAGGGGCTTTGAAGAAACGTTGCAGGAGTCACAGGATATTCTTTCAGACAACCTTTCTTGACAGAAGAAAACATTCAAAAGTTCTGTATATAGACGAAGATATTAGTAAAGTTCTCTGGACAATTTTCCAAGACTTTTGGTTGATCAAGGTCTGTGGATCTCTAATTGTTTGAACATTATAATATTCATTCAAGTTTCATTCAGTTCTTCAAAAAATCGTAAATTTTTTGTCCATCATTTTTACATCATGACCTTTAGCGCAAAAGACGGCATTTGTTATCCCCTAAAACAAAGATATATAAAAAATCAGTTTTGAGAAAAAATATTTCATTTTAATATGGTGCAATATTTTAACTTTCATTTTAAAATGGTGCAATTTTTTTTAAAGTGTTGTTTTTTTTTGTCAAATAGTCTAAGGCATCAAAGCGAGCGGACAAACTATTTTCGAGTAACAGTTTCCGAAGATAAACTTAATGTTTTCTATAGACCCTTTTCAAAAATAAGGCGTGATTCAAAATTGTGAATTGAAGATGTCTTTCCTTTCTTGGGCAAAAGAACGTTTCTGCAAATTTCATCCAATTAAAATAAAATAAAATAATACGAGGGGTACTCGTACACCAGGTTGAGAGCCACTGCGGTATGGTAAGCAACAGAAGCTGCTTGCACGTGCTTCCACAACACATTCGCGAAGCTGGATAGGCTTTATCTTCGGCAGATCCACCCTTGCGGCGATCAGTTTTAGGTGATCGCTTGTACGGTGCGGTTCGATATTCGGAATACATTTGCAGTGCTAAAAATAATCTTAACGCAACAAACGATGTTTCGATACGTTGTTCTGCTGGTTGTGGTTGTGCTGATGCTGTTGGTGAATAGTGGTTATGGATACATCGTCAAGGATGGAAATTGCTCTCTGGTTTCCAGTAGCATGCCTGTGGTGACCAATTTTGAGCTGGAAAAGGTTTGTATTATATCACGGAACAAGAAAGCGAAGTGTGGGGTTCGTGTCTATATGATTAACCGTCATCACTCGTCGCTCGTCGGTGTAGCGTACTGTGTGTGCCATAGAGTGAGGGTTCGATTGCTGCTCAAACCTCTCTGATTGCAGACTTTATCAATTATTGTCGTTTTATGTGCTATAACAATCTGGTAACTGAGGTTAGTCAATCGCCAAAAAAATGTTTCAGTGATAGTATATTTAAAGTTTGTAAATAGTAATAATTGTCAATACAATCACTGCACTTGATAAAAATAAAAACTTGAAAGTGTGCAAGTATTTCGGAAGTTCAGTAACGTTTTCTTCTAACTAGATTGAACACTCTTAAGGTGTTAGACCAGTGTAGAAGCCGAAAAAAAGGGTCAATCGTAATTTTTTTTTTGCGAAAAGAAACACTCTAAAAAAATGCGGTTTTCAGTATTTTGTTGAAAATATTATATATAATGTTCCCACATTTTGATTCTTGAAATGTGCAGGGAGGTGGCGCTGTAGTCGTCTAAGTGATGGCATCCCCGGCGTGAAGCGGTTTGCGGGCGGAAACGATTTGCAGTCGGAGGTAATCCTAGAACAAAATGGATAATAGTTTTTATAAACTAGAATGTTTAAACTAGTGAAGTACCTGGCCGATCACAGCAAAGAGAAGGAATTTTACATGACATGTAAACCAAAACCATTTTAAAATAACATCGTTTTAAACTACGTTTTAATTTGATTTTACATTAAAAATCATGCACATTAAAAGAGCATGATAAAACTCATAAAACTACAAGTATATTCGATTAGTTTTCTCCTGCATTGTGTTCTTCTCCACACGATGAAAAAACTTATCGAAGAACATCGAATTTTCAACGATAAAACCTATAAACAACAAACATTGAGAAAGCTTATACGGCGGACGGACCGATTATTCGATCAGTCACGTTTTTAGTGGAAAAAAAAATAATGACAGACACAATATTGATTAAAGCGGTTTCATACCGAGATCACTTTTAGTTCGTTCAGAAAAAAAATTGAAATGGAAAAAAAAGAAAAACATTCAAAAATGCGTTCGTGGTTCCTTTTTGACGTAGACTACGTCTTACGGGAAGGTACAAGGGGTAAATCGAAAATCTAAAATTGCGACAACCACGTAAAGGTGTAAGATTTTGAACACTTATAACTTTGTCATTTATAGATGAAATTAAAATCCAAATACACCAATCGATAGGAAACATCTTTCGTAAGCGGTTGCAATAAACGCTTTTTCAATTATTTTTTTTTTATAAAAAAAAAGCTGTTTTAAAAATGGACAAATAAAAAGTGATAATTTAATCACTGGTTTCATGAAATAAACGTTCTCACCAAAACCAGTCCTCCTTGAATCTGAAAAGCTATAAAACAGCGCTGCTAATATGCCTCAACTCATTTTCGCTTCGGACGGCGGGTAAGCAGGTAGCAGCAGCAGCAGCAGGAAGGCGGTTCCTGTCAAGTGCGCAGCGTTCGAGTTTTGCACCTCGAACTTTGCGCGTCGTTCCCGTCGAGATCACTGGCACACCACTAAATCAGGTAGGGGAAAATTTCCTCTATCTCATGGTAGTGTTAGCATGCGTGGGTGAGCTACCACACGGAAACAAATCCGATTCCATTTTCATGAATAAGAAATCATGAAATGGAAAAACTTGCCATCCCATGAAATCATAACAATGATTCATGATTTCGTCATGGAAATTCATGATTTCATAATGCAGTGGAATCAAGGCCGCTACAAGCGTTACACGTACTTGGCAAACCGTATTCATAAACCGCACTACATAGGTATCTCTTATACGCCTTTTGTCTTCCGTCTTATACAAGTACTGATAGTCTAGTGGTCAAAGAATGGGTTTAATTATCTCAAGGTTTTTGGTTCGAATCCAGTCTGATGCTTTATTCTATTCTTTTTACATTTTTTTGGTAAAAGTTAAACCCATGAATTTTAGATCATGATTTGAAATCGGATGATTCATCATTTTGGGAATGTTTGCTGCGTTACGCAAAAGTTGCTCATGATATCATGAATATTATTCATGGTGTATTTTCATAACATGAAAATACGCTTTGTTCATGAAATCATGAGTCATTTTTCTCATTTCGGAGATCGGATTTTTTCCCGTGCAGTTACGCCAAATCGACGATCAAATGCGTTGTTTAAACAAGCTGATACATTCCTTCGAAAAAGTAATCGAGAAATACTTCGTGGGCTGTGTACCAATTGCCGAGTTTTTTATCGTGACATTTCGAAAGTTATTTTCAATGTTTGAAAATGCCGGAAATTGATCAGTTTTCAAACAGAGCTCAGCCACGGTTACCAAAATTTAACTTCTACTCAGTCCGAAATAACCACGCTCGTTATTCGATAACTCATCTGTCACTTTTAACCACGAGATAAATTTAACTCGCCCATTGCGACACAGCCTTGGAAGTAAAATTAGGGCCATCCATAAATTACGTATATATGTTTGACCAATTAACCCCCTTTCCCCCTCGGAGCGTGTTTTGCAATACACCTAATACATGGCCGGTCCCAACTTCTGAAACCCCTCTCTTCCCTCAACTACTACGTTATTCATGAAAGCTCCCACTGAGCAACACTGAAAATCAGCAGCACACCACACAAAACGGGTTGGATAATTTCGGTATTGATCATCAATATTTCGCGATCAGAACATTTTAACTTGAAATCCCTCCATTTAATTATCGGTACATCTTTAATCCATTGATTGAATTAAAAAATTCTTAATATGGTTTTTTAAGATTTCGTGCGTTTTGTGAACGCACATTCATTATTTTGCATAAGAAAACGGCAACGGGGTGTTTCTGTGGTGATAAGAAGGATTTTCCTACACAGATTGCAATTTTCTGTTCCAAGCACTGGAATTATCAGACGGTACCTCTATTTATGCTTTTAGATTAGCTATGAAAGTCCCTCCTTCTTGGAAAATTATGCTAGAGAACGGTTTATACAACCCCAGTTTTTTTTTTTTGCTGATGGGGGCGAGGCATAGCCAGCCGTTCGATTGCACAATTCTTCAAGTAGGAGGGACTTGCAATGCTTATCTCTTAGCATAAATAGAGGTACCGTCAAGTTTTTTCAGTGCTAGGTTCTGAAATTCGAAAGTGAGCGTTCAAAAGGGCCTACTTGTAATGTTCGATTCTCTTCATCGATTTTCTGTTTACATTGCTACAGCTAAGCAAAACAATTCAATTTGAACATTGCACTAGGTGCTAAGTAAGACTGATTATCTTCGTCGACTTTCTCCTTGAATCCACTCGGCCCAGGTATTTTCAGCACACATATCGATAAATGAAGTTTTTATCTCGCATCTAATACAACAAACACAACAAGAAACGATGCTGTGCTCAAGTTATTAAGACTGTGTTCCATTTGGTGAATGTTTACGCTTTCTCGAAAATCGGCGATCAACAACAGGGATTTTCGAACATCTTAATTTATTTTCGAAGTGTCAAATCTAAGTGAAGATTTTCCAAATGGAACACAGCCTTAGTATTTTTTTATTTCTTCAATCGGTAGATAAAAGATGTACCGAGAACTTATTGGAGGGATTTATGGCTAATTGATTCCCGATCAACTATGAAATTTTGCATAACATTGGTGCAAAATTGTGCACTCCGTTTAGGGTTTTGAAGTTGAATCGCTGAGGAAACCTTATTTCTGATCAATCTCATTGCCACATAAAAATGTCAAGAGTACAGATATCAGTTCTCACAAAACTTATAACAAAGAAACTGGAACTTCGCGTTTGTTGCAGTCCAGTACACAAGGAGTTTCAATTTCATGAGCGATGTCACAACCGTCCAAGATTTGTGTCCTTGAAATCTTGAAGTGCTAGAGAATATCAGACATCATGACGGTCATTGTTGGACACTTCAATGAATCACCTGAAGAAAGCCTTTCTCATATCTGATTGTAATTTAGGAACCAAATGAAATAGAATATGTATTCGCATTTTTATGAGGTCCTGAAATTAACCAAGTTTTACTAAGTAGGAAATCCAAAATAAATACATAGGACCGAAATCATAGGTTACTTCTACTGTATTTTAAATCAATATCTAGAAAAACGCACGAGAATTTCATTACACAGCTTAACGTAGTCTACGTCAACCATGCGGTCGTGTCTTGTACACAACCCCACCAATTTTCTCCTCCTGACTGATCGTGTTGATGCAGTCGTGGAAGTGTAGGGTATGTACTGTACCGTGAAGGCGGGTTTTTCCGCGTGGGTGATAATTCCGCGTACTTGACAATCAGTTCAATTTTATGCAAATTCGTTCAAAAAGCAATATATTTTTGATATTTGACCAGAAAAAAAAACATTCAAATTTTTGCTATATAGCGCACATAAAATTAACGTGCCCTTAGCAAAATTTTACACGAGTTCAGAAATTAACATGCTGCTTTTTTCGAGTCATGTACAATTAAAAACCATCATCGCGTAATTTTGCGAAAGATCGTGTAATTTTGTCCCTATTAGTTTAGATTGTGAATTTTGGTTGATTTTTTTTGCTTCCTGACAGCTACACTGAACACGTCCAGAAGGTTTACGTAGTGAAAGTAGAAAAATTTACGTTTATTTTCAGATTTTTTAAGTTTCAACATTTGGTTTTACATTTCAATTGGTTAGCCTATGGCTCTTCATCTTTGTTCTAGTTAATTACTTATTCTAATGTGATGATTGCGCTTAGCGCTAATTTACAGGATACCCTTTTAAGGGCTTGTTTTCATTTGAATTTAAAAATTTGATAACCTACCTACCTGAGCACAGGAACCTACCTAACTACTTGAACTAGGTTGCCAAATCACGAATGATCTGGTGGTTTGATCGCAAAAGGTGACCCTGTACCTTTCCAGCGTGGACGTCTTTCGCTCCTCGAGTGTTTGAAGACCGGCCAGGTGGTGAATCTCAGAATTACGAGTTCACGGTGGACTGTTAAGGGTCATTCTGAGGATCTTGTTTTGGATCCTCTGAATCTTTAGGTGGTGGCACTTAGCACAACGCTCCCAGTTTGGCATACCATACTCAATAGCCGGCAGATTGATCTGCTTGTGAACAGCAAGCTTGTTTTTGAGGGACAGGCTGGACTTCCTGTTTATCAGAGGGTAGAGTGACCTAATCAAGATGTTACACTTGGTGGATCTCTTGTCCACATGGGATCGGAATAGCAATTTGCTATCGAGGGTGAGACCAAGGTAGACTACTTCACTCGACCATTCAATGGGAGTGCTATCAAGATGGATCATGACGTTAGCAGGCGGAACAAGCCGAGGTGAATTCGAGTGTGGAAACAGAATGGTTTGTGTTTTAGCTGCATTGATACAAATCTTCCAGCTCTTGAAATAGTCGGACAGAACATCCAGGCCTGATTGTAGAGCACGGATCACTCGACCCTTATAGATAGATTATGGAAGTTTCAAATGCGAACATTGACAGGATACCACCACCCGGCAGGGGAGGAGCGTCTGACGTGAAAATGTTGAAAAGGATAGGCCCAAGCAGTCTACCCTGAGAGACCCCAGCATCAACGTTGAACGTATCAGAGGGGACGTTGTTCAAGTAGACCTGGAATGATCTGCCTCGCTAGAATGTCTGGCGTAGGTAGACAATTTATCTGGAGGGGGCCTAGATAATTCTGGAGAGGAGCTAGATAATTTTGGAGGGGGCCTCGATAGTTCTGGAGGGGGCCTATATAATTCTGGAGGGGCCTTCTCGACGTCCAACAATGCCATGGCAGATGTATTGGAAACGGACTTGTTCCGCTTGATGATGTTAGTAACCCGTGCGCGTTGGTGGATTGTAGAGTGGCCTTTCCTAAGCCCGAATTGCTCTTTGAGAAAGATGTTATTATCATTAGAAAACACAAGTAGACGGCTGAGTATCAACTTTTCGAATAGCTTCGAGATGGAGGACAAGAGGCTGATGGGGCAATAGATTTTGGCACTGGTCGGATCTTTACCAGGCTTGCGTATTGGAATCACTTTGGCTAACTTCCAGCATGCAGGGAAGTAGCCAAGCTCCAAACATTTGTTGAAGATAACGGTTGAAGAAGTCAATACTCAAGTTTTTCAACTCGAGGTTGACTACACCATCCATACCCGTGGCCTTTATGTTTTTAGTGCTTCTAACAGCTGCTATCATCTCATCAGCCGATATTCTCAGAAGGTTTACGCGAAATACGGGCAACGTAAAGTTACACACTACAAAAAAAATCGTGAAAATTTCGGTTCCCTGAGACCGACACATGCAAGCGGCCCCTTTGACATAAGAAACAGTTGAAAGAAACTAGAAAATCAATTCAATCAAACGTTTTCTTCGTCGAGTTGCTTATGTTTCGGTTTGAGAACACTTAATTTAACATGAAATGTTTGCTTACGTTCCATGATTTGGCCAAAACGCGATCCTGAAAGCTATACACGACGATGCTGACGAAGTTTGATTTCGTGGAAATGACCTTCTGAAAGAAAAATTGACAAATTTTATATGTCATATACAAACTTTACCACCTCTTCTTGCATCTTACAAATAAAAATTGTCATTATAGTATCCCATTGTTTCATAATACCGAAAAAATGCATTTTAGCTGTATTGAGCAATTGCAAGCCTGCTTGCCACCATACAAACATCGCTGTATGCTGTTAGCTATTGAGATACTGGAGAAACGTAGGTCTAACTAGCAAGCAGTTTTCGCTATGGTCCTGACCAACGAGGTTGATACTTCTGATATTTATGATACGGTTCATGGCTTCACGCGGTTCAACGAAATATCTTTTCTTTTTTTTTCCTTTGGTTTGTGTTTTCCGTCGATCTTGTTTTCCGTGCTGAGCACCAATGCTATCGACGTCCCAGGAAGGCAGCTCCCACACCTGGAACCTACCTATCGACCCATCAACTTCATGAACCGGGGACCAACGGCTTTACTTCCCATCCGAAGGAAGGCGTGATCAGAGATGTTATGCCTCAGAACATCCCGGCGGCGCCGACTAGGATTGAACCCAGGCCTGCTGGGGTGAGAGGTAATCACGCTTACCACTACACCACCGGTGCCGTTAATCAACGAAATATCTGAGATCTTCGATTTCCATGTTCCTGCTGCTGACCTACGGAATCGTCTCACCAACCAGGGGTTGAAACAGTTGACGTTTTTTACTACTTCGTTGTCGTGCGCGACAGTCTCTTTGTATTCGTACATTCATGCTCTACCGTCGTCTTTCTCACACAACACAAACGGTAGACAACATTCGAGCAAAATGAATATTATCAAATAACGACCATATGACAATGTGTTAATTTGTTCTAATTCCTCAATTTTATGGCAATTAAACCATTTCTGATTAGAAATATTATTACTAGAACATCACGGCTTGCTAATTTCAGAATTCACACAAGTACAACAATAGCAGCTCTTATTATGAGAAAAACTAAAATACACAAATACATGCCGGTCTTCGACGACCATGTCGTATGACAGAGACTGTCGTATGACATTTATGTTTGGTACTGTAGCATGTTTTGCAAATATCGGAAGAAAATACGTCGACTACGGTGACCGCTTACACCACTGGCAATGATGCAAGCCGGACCGCTACCCTACTAGGTTTTCTTAAAGAGGCAGAACTCCTCCACCTAGTTTGACAACTACCACTTCGGTGCTCGCTGCCGGCAGCAAACGGACTACTGACCCCTACAGACCTACGGTACAACCAGAACCCACCCGCAAAGAACCATTGACCCTTCCTGACAGCAAACTAGACAGCATACAACACTCTGTTTTAAACAACTCTGTATTAGGGGGACCCCTTCTGGAGCCCCATTCCTCCTTTCCGAGACCCCTTCGGAGATCCCCAGAGACGAACCAGCCATTGACTGAAAGTCTCCCTAATAAAGTAACCAACTCCTCGCCCCCAGCACGGTCTATTTTATGGCATTACACATTTTTTTTCTTGATTTGTTTTCCGTCGATCTTGTTTTCCGTACTGCTTTCAGCTTCTAATTGGATAAATTTATGCAAAGGACGCAGATAAAGTAGAGCATCTAGTGACATACTCGGTGTGCTGTTCATTGCACCAGTTATTGAGAGAGTAGCAAGTCTTCTGAGCCGATTTTTCATTAGTTTTCGGCCACCAAACCAATGATGCATAGGCTAAATATTCTGGGTCTTACAATCGTCAAATAAATCCAGTGGATCATTTAGGCCCCATTTCCTACCAAAAGTTTTCTTATTTATCCAAAGAGCATTTATTGCCTTATTAACAACCTACTCTATAAGGGAATTCCAGTTAAGTTTACAGTCAAGAATGACTCCCAGATACTTGACTGTTCGTGAAAGTTCTAAAGAAATTTCTTTCAATTTTAAGTTATTTATGGAAAATTTCCTTTTTCGTGTGAACGGTACAATAGTGGTCTTAGAAAGGTTTATATTCAACCCTTCTTTAGTGCACCACGACGAAACATAATTGAAAGCAGTTTGCATTCTATTTGAAATGACATTATCAAATTTTCCTCGTACTATTATGACTATGTCATCAGCACCACAGCCAATTATCTCGAAACCCTTTGCGTTTTTGAGAAGTTCGTCAACTATTAAAGACCATAAAAGAGGAGAAAGAACACCTACTTGAGGACACCGGTTTAGTTCCCGTGATCAGAGATTTCCTGCCTCAGAAAATCCCGACGGTGCCGACTGGGATTGATCCCAGGCCCTTTCAAGTAAGAGGCGTTCACGCTTACCACTACACCACCGGAGCCGCTAGCATTACACATTCAGCCAAGATGTGCAACATGCACAAAGCCGTGAGCAATGCGATTCGATTTAGTCTCCTCTGCCGCTATCGCGAAGAATTCCAAGCGACAAGTTCATTAATACAAATAGGCTCCTAGGTATTAACTAGTTGTTCAACAACACACACGCTTGCACTGTCACAAATCTTGGCAGATAGGTTGGTAGGGTGGTTTGTAAATCTATCACTTTGAAATTGCCCTTGACCGGATCAGTAGCAGCATCATAAACATCTGAGATGCAATCAGCGGAGCCTTAGAGCTTTTCAAATGCTAATGATTTTGAATGCGCTACCATAATATGACGCAACAGTTAAGTGACTTTGATGTAAAAAGCATCATCAGTATCAGTAGAAAAGTCATTGCATGGAGAAAAAATTTTATTTCATCAACTTGGCATTTAAGTCAAATTAAGTCAAATGGCGAATTCATATCAAGACGGCATCAAAATGTGATGAAATCGAAAGCAAAAAGTCTTAACTTACATAATTATCCACCTAAGGAGGGACGGATGCGGTGTATGTTTATCACTTGGAAGTCAACCAAGCTTTTTTGGTGATTTGTTTTCATTTCGTGTTGTCTTTAGGGTTTTGTTTTGAGAAAAGGAAATGACATAATATGAACTCAAAAATGCTTGTGCGCTGAAATGCCTGGGGGTTAAACAGTAGACATGTATGTATGTGTCATGCAATCCGAGCTTGATGATGTTTTAAATGGTGCAATGTTGATGAGAAACGAGTTTGAATGATTTGGCGTGAAATTGATAATTTCAATTTCTTCCCCAGTATCTTGGCAAATGGTATGAAATCGAACGATACGAACAGGACTACCAGCGGAATCTGGAGTGCGTAACGGCAGAGTACATCCGAAATAGCCAGGATGCATCGGTAGATGTCAAGAGCAAGGGATTCCTAGCAACCAAGGATGCATACGCTTCATTTGCCGGAATAGCTGTAATGTCCGATCCTCAGGCGAATCCTACCGTTGGAAAATTGAACGTTAGCTATGGGATCAGAGGTATATCTTTGAAACAAAATTGATCAACATGTTTAAACAACTTATCTATGTACTGCAATCAGCTAGTGGAATTTCCAACTATTGGATCGTGGACACCGACTACGTAAACTATGCAGTAGTTTATTCCTGCACACCAATTGCCGATTCCGAATCCATCATCGAAGGATATTGGCTTCTCTCCCGAACACCAGCCCTCGCTGAAGAGCCGCAGCTAATGGACAAGCTACAATATCTACAAACGAATTATTTCGTACCTTCGCACGTCAGAGCTACCAACCAAAGCGAATCATTGTAAGTTTCTTAATTGGTCATATAACATACATAAGTCTTCTTAATTTGACATCATCTCTCCATTTTCTTTCAGATGCCGAAAAGAGCCTGAAATACCACCGGTTCCAGCAGAGACCGTTCTGCCACCGTTGCCATGAAATTGGTCGTAAATTTAACTGCCTTCGTCTCAAATTTGTCAAATCCGGTCGACTATTTCAGACATCGACAGTGGTGCCATCATAAGCACACAGTATTAACCAAGCCATCTTCGACACTTTTACTTTCAACCACTCAACAACAAGACTAACCGGCCGGCCACTGAGTGTGATTCTCTTTAATCTTCTTTTCTTTCGACATCCATACATTATACCTAGGCGATAAGTTTTTTGTTTCCTTTGATTTGTTTTCCTTACTGAGTACCAATACTACCGACGCTAGGGAGGCAGCTCCCACACCTGGACCCTACCTATCGACCCATCATGGACCGGGGACCAACGGCTTTACTTCCGTTCTGAAGGAAGACGTGGTGATCAGAGTTTTATGCCTCAGAAAATCCCGACGGCGCCGACTGGGATTGAACCCAGGCCCTTTGGAGTGAGAGGCAGTCACGCTTACCACTTCATCACGGGCACCACTCTAGGCGATAAGTTAATGTTATGTAAATTAATTCATCTGATTAAAAAAAAAACTATAAACAAACCGCCCGGCTGTTACGACGACGAGTGAGTTCAACTGGTGCAATGTGCGCGGTTGATGTTTCAGTATCATTCCGAACTTGACCGATTCTGGTGGTCATCCGCGGATACCTCATTCGCATTGTGCAAGTCAAGCGGTAATCTTGTGCCATCAGCGCTGCCTATTCGCCCTTATACTGCGGTATAGGATTTATTTGGTGGTCACGGTGAACACGATTGGTGGGAGGGAAAGATGAACGTGATGACGTTGTTGACGGTGGTTGTTGCCATACTGTTGACGACCTCGACGGGAATCGTAAGTCAGCGAATCATCCAACAGCCCTGCCCTGACCCGGAAAGTCGACCGGTTGTGAGCAACTTTGATCTGGAGCGGGTAAGTTTGAAACCTAAATCGACGCAATATCGAATGGGATACGGCAAGAGTTGTCGGTATCACATATACGTTAATACCCTTGCACTGTGACATAAAAATAACGTAGGTATACGCCAATGTCAAAATTAATCAGGGGTATCTGTTCAGGTATTATAAAATGGTAAATTTTCATCTCAGTTTAGTTTAAATCGATAAGTAATCTTAAGTGACATCGCTACCATGCATGAAGAAGTTGTCGAATCATAATTTACAGGGATGTTATAGAAACTCCTATTTCAAATCCACAAAATCCGCTCCACGAAAATTGGTCATCTGCGCCAGGATGCCAAATCTGTGCCGTGGAGAAATAATGAATGTATAACTCAAAAACCCACAAAATTAGGAATACATTCAACAGTTTATAAAACAGCCTTAAACTTGATTGTATCAAACCTCTTAAGGCATGTGCTATAAAATAGTAGAAGAATCTGTGCCTAGGGGCACGAACGGAAGGTTGACGTAGGACCACGGTTGGTCGGTACAATTGTTTTTGCGCTTAGTTGTTTTAGTTGATTAAAATTTATTAACTTAAAACTCTTTAAATATTGCAAATTGTGGCCGGTCGTGTGCAAAAGGACCGACCCAACTAAAATGTTCAGCTTTATAAGCCAACTTTTCCAGCGTTGCGCTGTAAAGTAGCTGAAATAAAGCTGCAGATACAGCTACGAGCAGAAGCTAGCAAAATAGTTTTGAAGAGCGTTTACTCAACTTTTTCACAACCATTATTCAATTTGTCATTTGCACTGAATAACATCACCCAACAAACGCTAATGTAACTTCTATGCAAATATTAATCAACTTTAAACTGTTAGCTTCAAAACAAAGCTAATAAACCGAATATATTACTTATTTGATGGCTTATACACAACCAACCACTCTTGCTGAATAACATAAACATCAAAAGTGCTTTTTCAACAACTAAACAACCTGTACTCAACTAATAAACTGTGTTTGCGCAACTTTGGAAGCTATTTTACAGTCAACTAGGTTTATTTTTAGACGTGTGCAGTTTTACAGTTTTTACTCTGCTTCTTTACAAAGCTGAATTAACTAGTCGAGAAAAGTGATTCATGTGCCGCTACGCAGCGATCTTGTTGTAGAAGGGCATGTAAATTTGTTAACGTCAGTTCAAAGTGTTGGCGTAACAAAGTTGGTAGTATCAAGGTTCACCAATAATGCGGTCGTCTAGAGTTCAATTCCAGGTTCCGGTACATTGTAAATAAAATTTGGTGGTGTTGCTTATAACTAATTTCGATTGACTTGATCTGCAGTAAAATAAACATGATAAATTCCTCCAACAAAAAAAAAGCGCAAACAATATTTAACCTGGCTTCAATAGAGAGCTGTTTAGAGATGATCGGGTAAAGGTTGAGTAAGCACTAGACTGATGCAAAATTTGAAATTTTTGCTCCACAGTGCTTAAACGGTTCCAAATTGGGTCCTGCTTAGCCTCCCAAAATTTGAACTACTTTAGTAAGAAACTGACTTCGCACAAACCATTTCAAGTTTATATGGGAATTACTATGGGAAAACTTATGTATTTATTCATATGTATCTAACAATTCACCACATCACTATGCTTTTGAAAATGATAGCAGTGATTTTAGAAAATTTTCCCAGCTACAACTTTGTTGAAACCCACTTTTCAATCAAATGTAAGGAACAAAAGTTATTAATGATTCAAGTCACTGATGTCTTATGATTATGCTCATTCAACTGTTCAGCAGGCAACATTGGTGTTTCTGGTGAGAAGAATAGAGCACAAATATCATGGCTACTATGTCACACTGCAGAATACAGTGTTGCTTACAGAACAGCTGCTTGATTATGCCATAAGATTATCAATATCTTAAACAATTAATTACTATTTAATTTGACATTTGGCTGAAAAACGATATTCCGCAAAGTTGTAGCTTAGAAAAATTCCCATAAGAATAAATATTGAACTTTTCGAAAAAGCAATATGGAAAATGGGTAGTAGACAATGAACAAAAAGTTTGGTTTTCCCATAGTAATTTCCATATAAACTTCGAATAGTTTGTGCCAAGTCAGTTTCTTACCAAATGAGTTTAAATTTTGGTATGCTAATCAGGACCTGATTTGAAACCGTTTGAGCACTGTGGAGCGAAAATTTCAAATTTTGCATCAGTCTAGTAAGCACCTTTCAAGTTCACACACAACTAAACAGCAGGATTACAGCTGTATAGAAGCGTAGCTAGATATGCAATAAGAGCTTGTCCCAACACTCCCAACAGCCATAGGTAGCTGACTAAGTTCGCCAGATTTGCTTTTATAGAGGTTGAGTAAAGGTTTCCGCATATCGTATAACATTTGAATACAGCTTGAAGCTGTACGGTCAAAATTTGGTCAATATCAACTTGACGTATTTCTTTCAATTTTGCATTTAAAAAACCTGAACACCCCTCATTTTGAAGGTGTGTGCGTGTAGAATGTTGCTCCTATTTTGATTTTGGAATTCACTCTTCAGTTGTCAAAATGCCGTCCAAGCAAGAAGAGCAGCGTATCAAAATTTTGCTCGCGCATCGCGAAAATCCGAGCTACTCGCACGCAAAGTTGGCAAAATCGTTAAAAGTTGCCAAATCAACCGTTACAAATGTAATTAAAGTGTTTGGGGAACGTTTGTCGACAGCCAGGAAGTCTGGATCGGGGGGAAATCGAAAACCGGAAGCCGCTGAGACGACAAAGAGAGTTGCCGGTAGTTTCAAGCGAAACCCTAACCTCTCTCTCCGAGATGCCGCAAATAAGCTGGGTGTATCGTCTACAACCGTGCATCGAGCCAAAAAACGAGCCGGACTATCGACTTACAAGAAGGTAGTGACTCCAAATCGCGATGATAAACAAAATACGACGGCCAAAGCGCGATCCCGGAGGCTGTACACGACGATGCTGACGAAGTTTGACTGCGTGGTAATGGACGACGAAACTTACGTCAAAGCCGACTACAAGCAGCTTCCGGGACAGGAGTTTTATACGGCAAAAGGAAGGGGAAAAGTAGCAGATGTTTTCAAGCACATGAAACTGTCAAAGTTCGCAAAGAAATATCTGGTTTGGCAAGCCATCTGTACCTGTGGCTTGAAAAGCAGCATTTTCATAGCTTCCGGGACTGTCAACCAAGAAATTTACGTGAAAGAGTGTTTGAATAAACGTCTGCTGCCTTTCCTGAAGAAACACGGTTGTTCCGTACTGTTTTGGCCGGATTTGGCATCTTGCCATTACGGTAAAAAGGCCATGGAGTGGTACGCCGCCAACAACGTGCAGGTGGTTCCCAAGGACAAGAACCCTCCCAACACGCCAGAGCTCCGCCCAATTGAGAAATACTGGGCTATTGTCAAGCGGAACCTAAAGAAGACCAAAAAAACTGCTAAGGGCGAGCAGCAGTTCAAGGCAAACTGGCTTTCTGCGGCGAAGAAGGTGGACAAGGTGGCTGTACAAAATCTGATGGCAGGAGTCAAGCGTAAGGCCCGGCAATTCGGATTTGGAAAAGCGGAAGCCTAACTGAATATTTTTCCTGAATTTTATACTAATTGAACTTGAAAAAGAAATTTAATTTGATTTTTTAAATAAACGATTTCACCGATTTACACGCGTTTTCCCTTGACCAAATTTTGACCGTATCACCCTTTAAATGAAATACGTAAAGTGTTTACATTGCGAAAAATGTTAGTTGGGGAATCATTATACGAAATGCAATGAATACCAACAGTAAGAGCAAAACAGTTAAGGAAGCTCTACCAACTAACAATTTTCGCAATGTAAACGCTTTACTCATTTCATTTATTCAGCCTCAAGCAAATCTGGCGAACTTAGTCAGCTTCTTATGGCTTTTGTGACGGTTGGGACAAGCTCTTATTGCATATCTATTTACGCTTCTATACAGCTGTTATCCTGCCGTTTAGTTGTGTGTAAACTTGAAAGGTGCTTACTCACCCTTTACCCGATTAACCAATTATCACTAGACAGCTTTCTCGTGACGCCAGGTTAAATTTTGATTTCACTTTTTTTTATGGAGGAATTTATCATTTTTATTTTACTGCAATTCAGCAGTAGTAAAATTTACGTTTATTTGCTGGTTTTTTAAGTTTAAACATTTGGTTTAACATTTCAATTGGTTAGCCTTTGGCTCTTCATCTTTGTTCTAGTTAATTAATTCTTCTAATGCGATGATTGCGTTTAGCGCTAATTTACAGGATACCCTTTTAAGGGCTTGTTTTCATTTGAATTTAAAAATTTGATAACCTACCTACTTGAGCACAGGAACCTACCTAACTACTTGAACTAGGTTGCCAAATCACGAATGATCTGGTGGTTTGATCGCAGACAGGCGACTCTGAACCTTTCCAGCGTGGACGTCTTTCGCTCCTCGAGTGTTTTTGAAGACCGACCAGGTGATGAATCTCAGAATTACGAGTTCGCGGTGGACTGTTAAGGGTCATTCTGAGGATCTTGTTTTGGATCCTCTGAAGCTTTAGGTGGTGGCACTTAGCACAACGCTCCCAGATTGGCATACCATACTCAATAGCCGGCAGAATGATCTGCTTGTGGACAGCAAGCTTGTTTGTAGAGCGACCTGATCAAGATGTTACACTTGGTGGATGTCTTGTCCACATGGGATCGGAATAGCAATTTGCTATCGATGGTGAGTCCAAGGTAGATAACTTGATGGATCATGACGTTAGCAGGCGGAACAAGCCGAGGAGAATTCGAGTGTGAAAACAGAATGGTTTGTGTTTTAGCTGCATTGATAAAAATCTTCCAGCTCTTGAAATAGTCGGACAGAACATCCAGGCCTGCTTGTAGTTTACTCGTCAGATCACGGATCACTCGACCCTTATAGATGATGGAGGTGTCATCTGCGAACCTAGACAGGATACCACCATAGAGATAACTCTAAGACTAGTAGGTCCCGAAGAAACGTGCTCAACTTTTAGGCTCAGCTCTGG